CGCCCCCCTCCCCCCAGCAGACCAGGCTTTTGTTGCGGGATGCCTGGGGTAGAGCAGCTGGGGTGCTGACGGGTTGGTCCTGCGGGGACCTACCCGGCAGTGCCCCAGCTGTTCTGTCCCAGGAGTCCAGATTCAGCCACTGTTGAAACTGATCAGCAGCTGATTCCAGGAAGCCCGGGGCAGAGCAGCTCTGCCTCGGGCTTCCTGTAGTCAGCCGCTGTCAGTTTCAACAGCAGATGACTTGGGGACACCGGGGCAGAGCAGCTGAGGTGCTGCCGGGTTGGTCCAGTAGCACCGAGGAGTGGCGCTGCGGGACCAACCCAGCACCACCCCAGCTGCTCTGCCCCAGGCGTCCCCAAGAGCAGCTGGGGTGCTGCCAGGTTGGTCCCGCCGCGCCAAGGGTCGGCACTACCAGATCAACCCAGCAGCACTCCAGCTGCTCTGCCCCAGGCGTGTCCGATTCAGCCGCTGCTGGTCAGCTGATCTGGAAGCGGCCGCGGGTCCGGCCCAGCAGACCAGGGACACGGGGAGCAGCTTTTCTCGCCCCAGAGGAGGCAGGCGGCGGGACCAGGCGTCCCGCCACTCCAGTCCTCTTGGGCGAGAAAATCCCCGTTCAGGGACTGCCTGTATTTAAATGAAACAATCTAATTTTAAATAACAGAGTTGGGTGTTTTGTTTTGTTTTTAAAATCCTCCCTGCCTGAAATTTCTTTAGACCCTTATCTGCAATCTGTTGCCAACATCTTTGCCTTCTCTCTATGCTCCACCTAGCACAACAACTCTATTTTGATACCTCAGCAAACATCTCTTCTCTATCTTTGCCCAATTTGCCCCATAAGCTACTCCCATTCACTTCACCCATTCCTCCTCAGAGAGTGACAAACCTATATATTCAATCACACCCTAAAATTTCCCAAGCATCTTAGTCTTCCTAATGAGCTCCAGTATCTCCCACATAAGTCATCACTTAACCCCTGCTAATTTTGACAAGCATCCAAATATGCCAGGTGAATAGCTTCCCTAGTTCTGTGTCAACTACACTTCCTAGTTCTGTCATCAGAGCTTATTTCAACAGCATAGCCTCAGATACCCCATGAAACTGCAATGAGTTAACAGGCCTCAGTAAGGCAAAGTCACACTGAGTGGATGGGGGGGTGGGGGGAAGAAAAAAAAAAAGAGAGAGAGAGAGAGAGAGAGAGAGAGAGAGGTAAACCTATGTTTACCACAGCTCCTATTGGCCGGGAACAACGATCCGCAGCCAATGGGAACTGCAATTGCCTATGCCTGCAGACACACAAGCCATTGTGTTTATGTTGCCATTAAAACTTCAGGAACAAGAACGAGTTTAAGCCATTAAATGTTAAAAATTCATTTTGCTTTTCTAAAGTGAAGAATTTCATATGTAATTATAAAGCAAGTTTGCTTAAAATAAAACTGTACAGAAATGGAACTTCATACATAATCAGAAATGTCACCTAGCATGTCCCTACTGTGTCATAATTCTAACACATCACTCAGGAAGTGATCTGCTATCACTGGTGGGGCTGGGGAAGAGCATCTTTGGGAGAAAAGAGTATTTGCTTGTAAATACTAAAGAAGTCAAAGAGGCTAGAACAGCTCAAAGCACCAAGTTCATAGTTTTGGCTTAGAATGAACAATGAATGGCAACCCGAGGCAACTGAAACAATACATCTTGTAGTACAGATTGAACCTCTGCGGTCCAGGTCTCTCTGGTCCGC